TTTTTCATAATGGCGTCATTCTATTGATCATGGATTGCCATTCCTATAATAAAGTGTTTGAACTGGAATATATTTATGTCCTTATTCAGAATTTGAGAAAAAGAGACTTCATTGATAAAAATGGACACGTTGAACAGAGAATTTGGTCAGATCCCAGGATGAGCTATTAATTCATTGACAAAATTGTCAATAGAGATTTTATTATTTATTGATTTAATTTTAATCGCACCTTTATTGTTGTTTATAAATAATTCACGATGATGAAAATGCCTAATAATCCTTCCTCCACAGCAACAACACTTTAAGGTGGGGTGGGCTGAGAGAGAGGGCGACTTCGCACATGTCTAAGGCAGGACTAGAATTCACCGTCTCCTGGTGATTGGCCCAAAGTCACCAAAATGTCTTTCATGCCTAAGGCAGGACCAGAACTCACCATCTTCTGCTGATTGGCCCAAAGTCACTCAGCCAACTTTCATGCCTAAGGTGGGACTAGAACTCTCCATCTCTTGATGATTGGCTCAAAGTCACCTAGTTGCCTTTCTTGCCTACATTGGGACTAGAATTCACAATCCTCTGTTTCTTTGTTTTAACCACTAGATTAAACTGGCTTTTGTGACAGATTGGCTATTGCATAAAAACTGGACATGGTTTTCCAGAGCATTTAACATTGTAATGGGGAAGGATGGCTGGATAGATAGATAGATAGATAGATTTGATAGAGAGATAGATGATAGAAAGATAGATGATATAGAGATAGATAGATGGATAGATGATAGAGATAAATGATAGATAGATAGATAGATAGATAGATAGATAGATAGATAGATACATAGATAGATGGAGGATGGATGGATGGATGGATGGATGGACGGACAGACGGACAGATGGACGGACAGACAGACAGACAAACAGACCAATCGGATGGACGGACGGACAAGATGGGATGGGATGGATGAATGGGTGGATGGATAGATAGATAGATATGATAGAGAGATGATACAGATAGATGATAGAGATAGAAAGATGATAGATAGATAGATAGAGATGATAGAGAGATGATACAGAGAGATGACAGAGAGATGATAGAGATAGAAAGTAGATAGATAGATAGATAGATAGATAGATAGATAGATAGGGATGATAGAGATGGATGGATGGATAGATAGAGAGATAAAGTGATGATACAGATAGGGATAATAGATAGATAGATGATAGAGATAGAAAGACAGACAGACAGACAGACAACCTTCATTTCCCATGAACTGCATGATGTTTGTGAAGTTGGGCACTTCCCAAAATTATCCGAAGAGCAGGTATTTGAAGGTACACTCAGGATGGGGTACCTTTAAACCTTGGAGATGGGTTTGAAGTCTTCTAGTTTCCACTTTTTATTTCAATTCATGGATTAAAATTCACCTGCTATTCCAAACAGACAGGTCTATTAAATGCCAGTGGTGCTTTGGATCATCACTCGTCAGCGTTTTTAGATTGAACCCATTGTTGACTGAAAATTTAGGACCTATCATTGTTTTAATGATCACTTTTTTTGCATGGGAGGTTGGCTATAAGTAATAACTACAAAAACATTGATAGTGTTCTTTAAGGTAACAGCTTAATAATTGCCCGTTAATATTTTGCAGGGATTTCCCCCAACCAGACATGTCTGAATCAGGGGTAAAATTCAGCAGGTTCTGACAGATTCTGGAGAACCGGTAGTGGAAATTTTGAGTAGTTTGGAGAACCAGCAAATACCACCTCTGGCTGGCCCCAGAGTGGCGTGGGAATGGGGATTTTGCAGTATCCTTCCCCTGGAGTGGGGTGGGAATGGAGATTTTGCAGTATCCTTCCCCTGCCACGCCTACCAAGCCACACCATGCCCACCAAGCCACGCCCACAGAACCGGTAATAAAAAAAATTGAATTTCCCCACTGGATATGTCGGTGTACTAAGAGACGAATCTCTTTCCTTGTAAGTGCCAACTGATTTATGCTTTAAACTTTTAAAAAGTGAGAGCTTTCCCATTAGAAAGCTTTCAACATCACTACAGTTTCAAAAGCTGCACACATACACACTCACACATGTAACTGTGTGTTAAAATCTAATTCTGCTAATACTTCCTCATTAAAGACATTTTTTATGAACGATCTTGGGGGAGAAAGAGATTGTTTTTCTTCCATTATCACATATCGGTGGGAGGAGAAGGAAATGACCGATGATGAATAATTTTCCGGTAAAACTTACCACAATGGTGATTTGTGTTAGCCGTGCACTTGATTCGTGTATCCGTGTTTCCCCGAAAATAAGTACCGTGTTTCCCCGAAAATAAGACCCTGCCTTATATTTTTTTGAACCTTGAAATAAGCGCTTGGCCATATTGCCATGTGCTCAAAAGCCCAATTGGGCTTATTATCAGGGGATGTCTTATTTTGGGGGAAAATAAAAGTTAAATAAGAAAAAGAAAAAGAAAAAAATCAAGGCTGCGATGAATTTTTTGGCCGAAAGATGGCAGCACTCCCATCTATTTAGCTAGAGAAATTGTTCTGTTTTTGTAAGGCTTTTATTTTTTGGGGGGAACAATTTGCTTTTAAACTCTGTTGGGGTTGTTTCACACCAATCAAAGAAAAATATTAGTTTTCCTCAGTGATCGCGGGAGTCTTAATTAAGTACAAATGGTTGTTCTCATATTCTGCAGAACCCACATTTTAGCTGGTCAGAATTTCGATGCCTTTAGAACAGTTTTTCTCAACCTTGGAAGCTTGAAGATGGGTGGACTTCAACTCCCAGAATCCCCCAGCCAGCAGCGCTGGCTGGGGGATTCTGGGAGTTGAAGTCCACCCATCTTCAAGCTTCCAAGGTTGAGAAACACTGCTTTAGAATGAATTTGACCGGATTTGGGGATTTGGGGAGAGGGTCCTTCCATCAGAAGGAGAGGACACAAAGATAAGAACAAGCATTACAGGTAATCCTCAATTTACAGCAGTTCATCGAGCGACCGTTCAAAGTTATAACGGCGTTGAAAAACGGGACTTACGACCATTTTTCATACTTACGACTTCTTGCAGCGTCACGTGATCAAAATTCAGATGCTGGCCAACCGATTCATGCTTATGACGGTTGCAGTGTCCCTCGGCAAGCAAAGTCAAGGGGGAGGGCAGACTCACTTATCAACCGTGTCAATAACAACAGCAGTGATTCACTTAACAACGGGGGCAAGAAAGATCATAAAATGAGGCAAACGGTCTCGCTCAACAATGGTCTCGCTCAACAACGGAAATGCTGAGGTCAATTGTGGTGGTAAGGGTGGAGGACAACCTGTATAAAACTGTCCACTGAGAATCAGATAACAGCCAAGTTCTCCCAGCTTCATCACACGGTAAACCATTGATTCTAAGATCTCCGTGGACTTTTCTTGTCAGAAGGTCGCAAAACATGATCCCATGACTTGGGGACATTTCAACCATCATACGTACGAGTCAGGAGTGGTGCGGTGGCCTAGAGGTGGAGCTCTCCCCTCACAATCAGGAGGCTGTGAGTTCGATCCTAGGTAGAGGCAGATATTTCTCTCTCTCTGGGCAGAATGACGATATATCTGCTGAACAAAACTCCGCACTGGCGACGGGAAAGGCATCCGGCCAGTAAAACACTCTGCTAGCTCCATTCAGTTGCGCAGACTCCATCCCGCAGGGGATTATGGGGCCTTTAAAAGAGGATGATACACATGAGTCAGTTGCCAAGTGTCCGAATTTTGATCACGTGACCACAGGGGGGGCTGCAACAATCGTAAGTGTGGAAAAGAAGTCACTTCTTTCAGTGCCGAACTTTGTAACTTTAGACTTCCACTAAGTGAACTGCTGTAAGTCAAGAACTGCCTACATCTCAGCCTTACTTTCCTATTTATTATTGAGCATTGAAAAGAAGCGATGAGACATGTATACTTGAGAGGTACAGAAGAGGAAAGGGGAGAAGGAGGAAGAGGCAAGAAGGACTGTATAATAAAATATTCATATAGGCTACAGCTCTGGCACGTTGGTGTATGGCTAATCCTCAAATGTCAGATTTGTTTAAGGGCGACATGTGATACACGGTGTCCTTTTGCCACAAAAGTGTGCTTTGCTGGTGTTAAGAGCCTGGTTAAGGCACCTGGGCTGCATTCAGACTTTGCACCAGTGGTGAAATCCAATTTTTTTTAAAACTACCGGGTCTGTGGGCATGGCCTGGTGGGCGTGGTATAGCTTGGTGGGTGTGTCAGGGGAAGGATACTGCAAAATCTCCATTCCCACCCCACTCCAGGGGAAGGATACTGCAAAATCCCCATTCCCTCCCCACTCCAGGGGAAGGATACTGCAAAATCCCCATTCCCTCCCCACTCCTGGGGGGAGGATATTGCAAAATCTCCATTCCCACCCCACTCTGAGGTCAGCCAGAGGTGGTATTTGCCGGTTCTCCGAACTGCTCAAAATTTCTGCTACCAGTTCTGCAGAACCTGTCAGAACCTGCTGGATTTCACCCCTGCCTTGCACGAGACCTCTCGTCTTTGACTCATGGTCTTTAGCAGATCTTCTTGTAGTCTTCTCCTCTGCAGGGAGTCCTTGATGCAAACATCACTCCTGGCTTTCCCTGCGTCTACCTTTCTTGCTCTTTCTTTTTATTTTAATTGGAGGAAAGAAAGAGAAACCCTATTCGGCTTTGATTCTTTCTCCCTGCTCGCTCTCTCTCTCTCTCTCTCTCTCTCTCTCCCACCCACCCATCAGTTTTGCAACCTGCTCAGAAGGTTTCAGAGCTTGAGCTCGTAGTGGTGAGCTGGTGGCCCGGGAGAGCATCACTGGAAAAAAAATAAAAGTCAGAACGAAGGTGTGGCATGTCTGAAGGAAATGAGATTCTGCTCTCTCGTAACATGAGCAACAGCTGCGAGTTAATCTTCAGAGGAGTTGGGACGGTTCAGGCAGCTGCCTCCAAGAGAAGTCTCCACACTACTCATTCTTTGTCTTCTGCCATTGCAGGATGGAGGATGAAGCTGTGCTGGACAGAGGGGCTTCTTTCCTTAAGCACGTCTGCGACGATGAGGAAGTAGAAGGTAAGGGGTCTGTCTTCTCTTTGAGTATTGAGGTAGCTGTTTCTTTTTCCAAAAAGGCCTTTTTAGGCTCAGGAGTGGGTCTATGAGACATCCTACAAGTGGGGTTTGCATAAACATTAGTCTGTAGAATGCTACGGATGATCGACGTAGAACAATTTTTGCAATTTTTCTTCATAAAAAGCTTGGTTTGGAAACATTTGTAAGATTTTATCTACAGATCCCTCACATCCTGGACATAAATAGTTTCAACTTCTAACTGCACACCAGGACAACTAGACACAAGGACAGTTTTCCCCCCGAATGCCATCACTCTGCTTAACAACTAATTCCCACAACACTGTCAAATAATTTACTAAGACTGTATTACTATTCTTCTTCTCTTCCTTACTATTATCTATCTCTTCCCACTTATGACTATAACCATGTTGCTTGTATCTTTCAATTCTATTGTTTTTATTTGTCTCCTAGTGCGGTTTGATAGCTTATTAGTAACCTTGATTATCACTAAGTGTTGTATCTTTTTATTCTTGATGAATGTATTTTATCCTCCTTATGCATACTGAGAGCATATGCACCTAAGACAGATTCCTTGTGTGTCCAATCACACTTGGCCAATAAAGAATTCTATTCTGTTCTGTTCTGTTCTGTTCGATTCTGATTCTGATTCTGATTCTGATTCTGATTCTATTCTATTCTATTCTATTCTATTCTATTCTATTCTATTCTATTCTATTCTATTCTATCCTATCCTATCCTATCCTATCCTATCCTATCCTATCCTATCCTATCCTATCCTATCCTATCCTATTCTACACTCAACACTTCTATTCTATTCTATTCTATTCTATTCTATTCTATTCTATTCTATTCTATTCTATTCTACACTCGACACTCTACTTCTATTCTATTCTATTCTATTCTATTCTATTCTATTCTATTCTATTACTATAACCATGTTGCTTGTATCTTTCAATTCTATTGTTTTTATTTGTCTCCTAGTGCGGTTTGATAGCTTATTAGTAACCTTGATTATCACTAAGTGTTGTATCTTTTTATTCTTGATGAATGTATTTTATCCTCCTTATGCATACTGAGAGCATATGCACCTAAGACAGATTCCTTGTGTGTCCAATCACACTTGGCCAATAAAGAATTCTATTCTGTTCTGTTCTGTTCTGTTCGATTCTGATTCTGATTCTGATTCTGATTCTGATTCTATTCTATTCTATTCTATTCTATTCTATTCTATTCTATTCTATTCTATTCTATTCTATCCTATCCTATCCTATCCTATCCTATCCTATCCTATCCTATCCTATCCTATCCTATCCTATCCTATTCTACACTCAACACTTCTATTCTATTCTATTCTATTCTATTCTATTCTATTCTATTCTATTCTATTCTATTCTACACTCGACACTCTACTTCTATTCTATTCTATTCTATTCTATTCTATTCTATTCTATTCTATTCTATTCTATTCTATTCTATTCTACACTCGACACTCTAATTCTATTCTCTATTCTATTCTATTCTATTCTATTCTATTCTATTCTATTCTATTCGTTAATAGCAACAACAAAAAAAAAGGTTTAGGGGATGACATGATAGCAATTTTCCAGTATCCGAGGGGCTGCCACAGAGAACAGAGGATCAACCTATTCTCCAAAGCACTTGTAAGGGCAGGATAAGAAGTAACAGGTAGAAGAGCATTAGAGATCCAACTTAGAACTAAGGAGAAATTTCCTGACAGTGTGAGAACGATCAGTGGAATAGCTTGCTGAAGTTGGTGGTGCTCCATCACTGGAGGTTTTTAAGAAGAGATTGGACACCATTTGACTGGAGTAGTGTAAGACTCCAGCCTTGAGCCGCTGGGTTGGGCTAGAAGACGTCCAAAGTTCCTTGCAACCCTGTTATATTATGTTCTATGTTTAGATGCATTCCGGTGCTGTTCTTTCTGAGTGTTTCTTGGGGTGGTATTTGTTTTCCTTGCTCAGCAGATAGAGCTTTAGGATACAAAAACACATATTTACTGAACTACATATGATGTTGGAAAAACGTGGCCATTTGAAATCCCTGAACAGGACAGGGCTGGCTCTGGTGTAGGAATAAAATAGAATAACAGAGTTGGAAGGGACCTTGGAGGTCTTCTAGTCCAACCCCCTGCTTAGGCAGGAAACCCTACACCACTTCAGAGAAATGGTTATCCAACCTCTTCTTAAAAACGTCCAGTGTTGTAGCATTCACAACTTCTGGAGGCAAGTTGTTCCACTGATTAATTGTTCTAACTGCCAGGAAATTTTTCCTTAGTTCTAAGTTGCTTCTCTCCTTGATTAGTTTCCACCCATTGCTTCTTGTCCTGCCTTCAGGTGCTTTGGAGAATAGCTTGACTCCCTCTTCTTTGGGGCAGCCCCTGAGATACTGGAACACCGATATCATGTCTCCCCGAGTCCTTCTTGTCATTAAACTAGACATACCCAGTTCCAGCAACTGTTCTTCGTATGTTTTAGCCTCCAGTCCCCTAATCCTCTTTGTTGCTCTTCTCTGCACTCTTTTTAGCCTTATAAAACTTAAGAAAATAATCTGGCATTAAACATGTCGATTCTTTAGGGCACTGTTTCTGCAGCTTGGCAACTTTTAGATGTGTGGACTTCAACTCCCAGAATTCTCCAGCCTGGCTTAATGTTGCTAAGGTTGAAGAAACACTGTCCTAGGCCGGATGTTACAATTCCCTTAAGCCCCAGTTGATATAGCCATGGATTTGTAGTTCAAAGCACTTGTGAAACCCCCTAGTTTGACTCCTAGTAGTTTACACTATTACACTATTCTTTGTGGCAGCCCCAGAGATATGGGAACACTGCTATCATGTCACCCCTAGTCCTGATAGATATGCTATCATATCTCCCCTAGGAGATAAAGGGTTGAAGTTGGGAATTTTGTCTCTGAAGGAACCTCTTTCTGATTCTTTCAAATCATCTTCTTTTTACGGCTTTTCTGCCTGGCCCACACCTCTGTCTCACCAACACAGTTCATTTTACAGAAGGAAAGTTGCCAGATTTGTTATATTTGTTGGACAGTTTGGGCTGAGAATGAAGTTTGTTTATTACAGTGGAATAAAAATCAATTCCGCGCTGATGTTCGGAGGCTCCAAAATTTTCCAGCCCAAACAAGGTGAATTACTATAAGTTGACAAAACACAAGAGCCACTGGAGAGGTGTTGTTGCTCCATGGAGACAAAACTTACTGCATTTCATATTTCTGCAATTATATTTGAATTCCAAGTCTTCTTCCTTTCAAAGCTTATAGGTATGTAGGCTTAATTCGTTTCATTATGGCAGTGGTTACCTCTTTGAGAGGTAAGCAAAGCTAGAAGGGGTAACATGTAAGATAGTCTGTAGAGTTTCTCAGTCCTTCAGGTCCTGGTTGTCCCAAAGGTGCTTTTTCAGGAGGCAACTGGACTTGTTTTTTTTCTTTTGAAGACATTTCGCTTCTCATCCAAGAAGCTTCTTCAGCTTCTGACAGGATGGTGGGGAATGGAAGGATTTATATTCCTTGCAGACAGCTGGTCATTTGCATCCTTTTTAGAGAGTTGTTGAGGCCACTTGGAGGCTTATCTGTGTCCTCAGGGTCACCTGAGTGGTGCTCTTGGTTCCTGTAGTCTGCAGTTTTTAACTCTGGAAACCCATTCCTACTTGCACACCATTCAAAAGATGTCCATACCAAATTGTATAGCTAAAAGTCTGTAGAGAGTCTCAGTCATCCAGGTCCTGGTTCTTTTTCAGGAGGCAACTGGACTCTCTTGTTTTTTTCTTTTGAAGATGTTTCACTTCTTATCCAAGAAGCTTCAGCTCTGACAGGAGCACCACTCAGGTGAGCCTGAGGACACAGATAAACCTCCAAGTGGCCTCAACGACTCTCTAAAAAGGATGCAAATGACCAGCTGTCTGCAAGGAATATAAATCCTTCCATTCCCCACTATCCTGTCAGAAGCTGAAGAAGCTTCTTGGATGAGAAGCGAAATGCCTTCAAAGAAAAAAAAAACCCAATAAAGTCCAGTTGCCTCCTGAAAAACCACCTCTGGGACATCTAGGATAGCAAAATTGGATGCTGAGACTTCTGGGAGTTGAAGTCCACATATCTGGAAGTTGCCAAGGTTGAGAAATATTACTCTAAACAAAACAGAAATGGGATATGTGTAGTCTAGCAGATATTGCTGGAATCCAGCACTGGGCAGCCGTCAACAGCTTGATGGATGGCTGTATTGATAGATTTGATAGTCTGCTTCTAGTGAATCACACTTTCCCCAGTATTGGTTTATGAGGAGTGTATATTAACACTTCCGTGTTACTCAACTCTCAGTGTCTTACGGCAGCATACATTGAAAAATCCAGACAATTAAAAGGAGCTTAATAATAATTCAATGTTTTGATGACACTGGCTAACATAGCTAGTTACCAATATAAAAAAGAGGGCTGTGAAAATATTTACGGACCCCTCGCATCCTGGACATAAACTGTTTCAACTCCTACCCTCAAAACGATGCTATAGATCAGTGGTCCCCAACCTTTTTATCGCCGCGGCCCGCTGAGCGCGCGCAGGGGTAGGGGCACGGCCCAGGAGCTTTTGCGCACGGCCCATTGCGCACGGCCCAGGAGCTTTTGCGCACGGCCCAGGAGCCTTTGCGCTGCAGCGTTCATGTCCCCCGGCCGCTGCGCGGCCCGGTGCCAGGTACTCCACGGCCCGGCACCGGTCCGCGGACCGGGGGTTGGGGACCACTGCTATAGATCACTGCACACCAGAACAACTAGACACAAGAACAGTTTTTTCCCCGAACGCCATCACTCTGCTAAACAAACAATTCCCTCAACACTGTCAAACTATTCACTAAGTCTGCACTACTATTAATCTTCTCATCGTTCCCATCACCCATCTCCTCCCACTTATGACTGCATGTCTGTAACTTTATTGCTTGTATCTTTACGATTTATATTGATTGT